TATGCATTTATGTAGGCCACAAAATGATATTAAACTGAACTTTGCTGTCAAACACCAAACTGACAGTGGGTTTGCCAAAAAAGATGTCAGTGATTTGAATCCATATCTTTCCAGGTGACTTTCTTGCACCGTATGTTATATATATCCATTCCCTGTGCATCATATGGCAGGTTTTTTGTATATGAAGCTAGCTTACTGTTCAGAATGCTAAATTAGGTCTCTGTGTATAAGATGATAACATTAGTAGGTCAATATCACAGGATTCCATTTTGGTGGCAATATAGTACTTGAATATTGCCACAGAAGACAATCAACCTGTATTCATTTCAAACTATGATAAAACTAGTGATGATCTCTCTCAGCAGAAAAAGATCTAAGAAGCCTTTATCTGTAGTGAAATCAACCTAGACTGGGTGCCGTCACACTGAGCTCCCTTTAGCCGTTTGATTGGCACACAAATAATCTTGCGTCTTTGACAAAATGAAAGGGCAAGTCTCTCGGCTTTTGTCGGCTAAAATGTCATCACTTGGCACACATATGGGAAGCCAAGTCTTTGCATCATTTTCAGCGTCCCTCAGAGAGTATCTGCTTGTCCTCCCTGTTGACATTGCCATTATATACATGACAAATACATTCGTCAGAGAAGCATGTATTCTCTGTTACTACAAGGAAAGGATAAAACAACATGGCTACAGTAAATTATATGCTACATTATGCTGAAATGAACTATAACAGGGACAATAGATAAAATCTGACATAATGCTTTGGGTATATATATGTTATGTATCACATCTTTTGATTGATGTAATTTGAATTTGATAGCATAAAGTATTAAATACACTCATAAAGCTGCAGTAGGTAACTTTTCTCCAAAAAACTTTTTGTCATATTTGCTGAAACTTTCACTAAATCCTAATTAACAGATTATCTGTCTCATGAACTAATGTCAGGATATAGTTAAAGTTTCAGCAAATATGACAAAAAAACTCACTCATTCAGAAATGTTAACTACTGCAGCTTCAAGTTAATGAGTCAGGTTAGAATGTGTATATATATATATATGTATATATATTTATATACACCAACACAATAACAAAAGATGAAGTCTGATGACATCATGAAGTTGCATTGATTGGAGTTGTTGTCTTCACCACCATTGCCCTCATTGTAGTCAGCTTCTCCTGGTTAGGATTCCTTCAGTGTTTATGGTTCAGGAGGTTTCTACCGGGAGCCCGGTTATCCACAGAGGTCTCCTCCTCTCCAAAACAAACAGACCCACTGATTAAAACCACTAAACACACTGAATCAAGCAGTTACATCTTAAAAATCACTGTTTCTTCCACGCTGTTGGGCAGACAAAGGATGTAATGTGGAAATGTACATACAAAAATCCTTGTGTTGACAGTTGCTTGTGTGGATGAATGATTTGGCATCTCACTACTGTTTTCAGTTGGAAAGCCTTGGGGGCAGGACAGTGTGTTCACTAATCAGGGCCTATGATGGACCTGCAATGAATGTTTTGGCCAGATACAGAGTATGGTGCCCAGAGAGCTTTGTGTTGTCAGAAAACAGAGTTTGTACCATTCGCCTGCCAGTGCGTTCATTGTTTGTTTAGATTCTGTTTGTTTGTGACATTAATCATGCCAAGGCTGGATTACCAACTGGGAAAAGCAGGCAATTGCCCAAGGGCCACAGACTTTCATGGGCCCCAAAGGCCCTCGGTTCACTGTGTGGCATATAGTTTATAGTCATTTGTATTCATGATTAACATAAACTGGAATGGCTTAATGGCAACTCATGTATTAGATAATCTTGCAGCCCTATGACAAATCCAGTGTGTAACATTTAGGAGGATCTCTTGGCAGGAATGGAATATATCAATCAATCAATCAATCAATCAGTCAATATTAATTATTATTAATATTAATTAATATGTAAAGCACTTTTCAAGCAAGAAAAATGTAACACAAGGTGTTTCACACATTAAATTGCCTAAACGGTGAAGACCCGAACACAAGCTATGTTCACAGAGCCTTCAGAGAGGATAACCATCCTCATCCTGGATTAGAAAGGTTAAAACAACCAACGAGCTCATAGAATGGGAAGAAAAGACACAATTCTCTGAATACAAGAACTGTATAAAAGGTTCCTAATAATTTGGTCAACTAGGATCAATAAATTAAAACAATATTTAATGTAGCACACACAAAACAACATACCAGTCTCTGAAATAGTTTTAAGGTGACTTGCTATGTTTGCAAATGCTGACCACTAGATGTCCTCAAAGTTACACCAAAGGTAGTGACGGTGGGGAAAGAAGAGCATGTTCAAGTGCTGTGGGAAATATCATGACTAGATTAATCATGGACTAGCCAACAAAGCGTAAACTGCTGGGGGAGCTAAATGAGGAAGTCCTCTGTAACATCCGTATTACCGAGAAGTCATTTTGGGAAGAGAGCAGAGAAGCTGAGTCATTGCTAAAAGTGAGTCAATCTGCTTTTTAGGCCTAAATTTGGTAACACAGGAAACACCCTGTGTAGATCGCTATGATGAAAAGATTGCTGAACTGTAGGGAAGTTTACTTTGTCTTTGTCTTCACCCTTGGTGACTTTTTTAAAACTGTGTGTATGGTATATAAATGAACACGAGCCTCACTTCATATTTTCCACTGGATCTTAAAATAGCTCTCTACCACTTGACATGCAAAACAGGCCAAATGCAGATTCCCCCCCCAGAGCCAGGCAGCCTGTCACAGGATCCTTGCAGTTACTTTGCATGGGTTCAGGACTGAGAACCCCTCGGAAAGTCATGTCACCGCTTCCTGTAGGGAATGAACAAGTGACACTGCCTCTCGGAGCTAGAACAATATTCCAGGGGGGCATGAGGCTTATAGCAGTGGGAACGTAGACCTGTACTGCAAAAGGGAAACCATTCGGTTGCTCTCCAGGAAGAAACTTTAAGAATAAATCACAAAAATGGTGCATTCATGTCACTTTCCTAATAATGTGATTAAAAACACAAGTTTTAAATGAAAGCAAGGATACATACAGTTTACACTGAAATGCATCAAAATGAGTATTCCAGCCAGTCCCTCCTCTGGTATCAGCAAGAAAACATCTCTTCTTTCTCCCAAGCAGGCTCATGGGGTAGGTGTGGAGACTTACCTGTTTAGGCCCATCTTCTCCGTAATCATCCACGGGGGTGTCATGCTCAACAGCACCGTCAGACCAGCAGGATGTAGCATTAGGAGGGTTAGTAGTACAGTGAGAGCTTTATCGACTCAAAAAGCAACATCGCCAACCCTTGGCTGTGAACTTATTGCTTTTGAACCGGTCAACCACTTTCTCAAATCCATGGCTGAGAATGAGAGGAAAATATTTAGTTAGCTTAGCTAGCTAGCCTGATGACTGAAGTTCCTGCTCAATTTTTAAAACATTATATTACAGCATTATAGCTGGTGTGCTTTTTCTTCAAGTAGGGAGGCACAGTGAAAGAAGTGGGGGTCAGTGGTGCCCCCTAGTGGAGCCAAATTTTGGATCCTGTTGTGTCAAAGTTCTGTTTTGTTCATCAAATGGAGAGTAAAGCTTCCGTCCCTGGCCAGGAAACGAACCTGTACCACAGCAAAGCTAACGCAAAATCCTAACCACCAAGTACACTGTAAACAGTTCAGTCAATCTGGAACAGTGGATAGTGATATATAGGTCTTTTAAATATTACAATATTGCTGAAATTATTACCGTGTCTTGACAGTACTATGAGACAGATAATCTGTAATTGACTCTGGCTCATTCTAGGGCTCCTAATGACATTTGCAAGAATCCATCGGGCCTGAACAAAAGCAACCAATCAGAGCCAAGAAAGATATAAAGATGCTTTGGGTTGGCGTCTTGAAAATAGTTGATTGTTGAGTCTCATTCCCAGGGTCCCAAAGTGTGTTTGTGTACAACCAGGGAATGAGACTCAACAATCAATTATTTTGCATTGCTCTGGTTGGTTGGAGGAGCCACACACAGATTATCTGTCACATGTTCACTGTCAGGATATAGTGAAAGTTTGCACTTTAATAGCTTAATGATAGTTCATTTAATTCTAAGGGGTTGTGGAAATCTTGACAAACTAGTGACCAGGCCTGGTGGAATATCAATCGCAAAATACAATTTTTGATCTGAAATAATGTGGATAATAGCCTACAGCAGTGGTTCTCAACCTTTTTGGGGTCAAGGTCCCCCAAATTGATTCACATGTGAAATAAGATGTAGCCTACTCTCAGGGATGCCCATCTGATAAGATTTAGTTAGGCTTATTCCATAACTGTCTATGCTGTAGATTGGCAAATGAATAGAGTGTGAACCCTATAATCAGAATAGTCACTCTTTGCTATGAATGAATGAACAATCAAGCGTCACTGAGCCAATATCTATATCCAATAACCTGCTAAAGGCAGACATAAACCTTGTGAAAGGTATTGATCTCAGATAAGCTCAAGGCAGAGGTGAACTCTGTTATCTGTATGCACTTGTGGTGCAGTTATGTGCAAAAGTTGTAAGAGGTTAGGACCGGCCAGGAAATAGACACGCCATTTTCCTTCAAACCCCTCAGTCCATTTAAACTATGATTTAAACCCAGCAGGGGGAGGCGCTGTAGAAGACAAAAAAAAAAAAAAAAAGCTGGACGGAGTTCAGCGTGGGAACCAAAGAAAGCGAGAACAAGAGCCCTGTCAAGCTAGACGCAGTTAATCGAGATGACACCGGAACTGACATGTATGGACTCCGAAATAAAGGCTCGAACTCAATGATCCCACAGTTATAGGTTTAAAATGATGGCTGGTAAACGAGCCCGACCTATGGCAGTTGTTTTGGGCCCGAACCCGACGGGTCCACTCGGGTTCAGGCAGAAAACCAAAGCTCTTCTTTGCAATATAATTTCTTGCTTTTGTTACGTTTTTTTTTCAATGTAGCTTTTATTGTGAAAAACTGTGTCCGGAAGTAGCGTCTATTTTTATTCAGTCTTTGCAGCTCCGGTGTGTGTGAGAAAGACTTGTACGGGAAGAGGAGAAGAGACTGTAGACGCGAGGGATCGATTAAACGACGGGGTTCGTATGTTACAGTCATGAACTATGGATGTTGTCACTACAGGTTCAGTCAGTGTCTCCTGCTCTACTTCTATGGCTGAATTCATCTGCCATTAGTTAGCAGCCAGCTAGCATACAAGCGCAATGTAACGCCAGCCGTCGTCTCATTATGTCTTCTCTGTCTGTCCCTCTCTCTTGTCTCCAGTATTGTCAGGTGGCACAGAGCCTGTGAAGACCGACGCCGTGCACTTAAACCCGGGCTTTTTCCGCTGGATTTGGAAACATTTCTGTAACGGTGACCGTGTGTATAGAGCTGATAGAGGATGTCTGGACAGAGCATTACAGACAGGATAACCGCCGCTCAGCACAGTGTCACCGGGTCGGCGATATCCAAGACTGTGTGCAAGGCGACCACGCACGAAATAATGGGGCCAAAAAAGAAACATTTGGATTGTAAGTATCCTGTTTGTTGGTTATCGATACAGCTGTGTGTTTAAAGTCGGCCCGGCGTTTTCTTTAGGTAGCTACCAACAGAATGTGAAGGCTGTGTCTGTGGCTATGAGGCCTGCACATACATAGAACAGTAACTTAGCCAATATTCGTTTCTACAGGCAGTCAATAGATAGAAGTCATTGGATCTCAGGTAGCAGCAAGGCTAACCGTTTTGATAAGCAGTTTGCTAATGGCATAGGCTCAGTTTGAGCAGCTCGGGTTCTTGTTACCTGTAAAACATTCATGAAATTCACGGTTTAGTTCGTTTTTGGTACAGCAAGGTAGGGTTCCCGGGTTCCCATGTTCCCTGGAAAGCCTAGAAAACCAGCAAATTAGAGACTACCATAAAACTAATAAGAATAGCCTGGGCATTCCTTAGATCACTGAACAACCCCTGCCTTTATTGGGGACGGGTGTCAGTTTGGGACAGGCATTCCTTTAGCACAAAACTCTTGCTCAACACAGATGGAAATACTATCAAATTGTGCTGCTTCCACACAGTTTTGTTCAGCATATTTGACAACTAACAGCTTGAATTTCAGGTCGTACTTATTTGTCTGTGCTGCCGCTGTCACATTTACAGCAGGTGAAGATTTACGGGACCCAGCATACGGGACCCAGCATACGGGACCCAGTATACGGGACCCAGTATACGGGACCCAGCATACGGGACCCAGCATACGGCGGAGTGCAACAAACTTCCCGTGACAATATTATTTTGATCGCTGGATCGTCACAGACTAAAGGAATATAAATAATGGAGAAGCGGACACAGGTTTTATAGATTCAGATACTTTCTGTTAAATCCAGACCAGGCCTCTAATTGAGACTTGCCTTTATTTGTCATAACGTGTAGACACACCAGGCTAATAAAGGAGACCGGCATCTATCTGTTTTTATTAGACGTTTTAAGGTAGTTGTATCTATTTATCTGCTGTGGTGAGAGCAGTCGGTTCTTAACCTGGGGGTTGGGACCCCCACTATAGGTCGCCAAAGCTTCACAGGGGCTTGCGAAGGCTTCTTGATGTTAAGTGGTGTAAGAAAACATAATCTTTAATAGGCTTCAATTTTGACAAATTCTGTGTTTTGTCTCCCTGACGCTTGGCCATTGTACTATTTGCGAACTGCAATAATAATTCTTATATTCAGTGATTATACACTAATGAAAACATACTTATGAATATTATATTCCATTTCTGCCAATAGAGCTTTCTCAGTGTTCCACTCTGGACCTTTTAATTAAAAGAGAGATTGATGTTTTGTTATTTTTAAAAATGCTGAAATCCGAGACAGCCACAGTATTTTCTTGGACATTACACATACCTAAATGGTTTAATCTGAGTAGGAAACTATATTGGCATAAACATTTAGCATTTGTGACTTTATAAGGCTAACTTGTATAGCCTATGAAATTATTATTTCAGCTTGAATTGTTATGTATCACACTTCCATGTGATATTTGGGTTAGGCAATATTTAAGCTTTTAGAATGGCCAATAAGTCGCACTATCAAGCCAGACTATTTTCCAAAACTAGGCATTTAATTTGAAATTTGAAAAAGTAGTAACTTTGGCTTAATTATGCATCTCCTATTGACTCACATCTCCTAACATTATAAAGAGCATGGAATTTATGTGTTACATGATTTTTTATTTCTTTTTCAGAATGAGGCATACTGGGACTACAAATATTTGAGCTGAGTGTGTTTTCTAAGTGTGTGCTACAACAATGACATCACTTTAAAGCTCAGTAGAAATTTCTGTCTATGCCAGCAGTTCTAGTGCCTGTTGAGTCTGTTCTTATTTCAAGAAGTGGCTGTGGAGTAGTGAACTTTGACTTACAGCTTTATCAAGAGCACACAAGCAAATTTATATTCAGCAGGGTTATAACCAGATCTACTGTTGCCACCGTTCAGAATAATGTGGTTTTAGTGTTGAGCTGTTAATAAGAATAATAATCTTGACACATTTGTGGAGGTTTGCATTTACTTTGGGTCATATTTGACTTTCTATCTATCACATTCCTCCATGGTGCTGTCGGGTGCTTCCAAGTCAAACAGATAATATGTAGACATTTCCCTGTTTCGTGTCTGCAGGTGGAACAATATTGGCAAAGTAGTCACGTAGTCAGCAGCGGATGCTAGTAAAGAATCGCCTTAAGCCGATGAGGAGTGGTATGTGCCAGTGGAAGAGGAGTGACATACCGTTTTCAGGTCCCATATGCCAGTCTAACAGCAGAGACAATAGTGCTACTAATTAGCTTGCCGTTTACACATCAGCCAACACCACGAAGCAACCAACGCCAGACCCACACTGCGTAGCCAAGACCCAGCCAGCCTACCAACCCAAGCTTAGTTTAGGCTACAGTTGGCTAGTTTTATGCCCTTGCCTTGCATTGTGGTAGAAATTGAAAGTATCTATTATATGTTCACATAATGGCACTTTAGGTCTTGATTTCATTAATTGTCACCCTAATTAATTTTTAGCCCTGCTGTGTGTTTTAAATGTTTGTATTAATCATCTTTCAAAAACTATTCTTTTTCCATGCAGTTGTCCTTCTCCAGGCATAGACTTCTTCGATTTAGTCTTTAGTCCAGATTTTAGCTTGCTTCTGTCAGCCTTGCAAATGAAATGTGGCACACCAGGCACCCGAACTTGGCAGCATTTTGGTCCACAAACAGCAAACAGGCTGTTGGATGCATGGTCTAAAGTTCTCAATGACATGCCTGTAATAAACAGACATATTTACATTTAAGTATTCTCATGCCATCACACTGCTCTGTTTCTGTTGTCTTAACTGGTCCAGTAACAGTATATTGCTTATTGCAGTACTCGGTACAGTGTGGAATTCACATCCAGTTAACTCATATTTTTAGGTCTGGCTTGACCAAGGAGTGTCGTGTTTGATGTTGTAACGTGTTTTTGAATAACCACAGCCTTCAGCTGATGTAGTATGCAGCAATGCAGCCATATCCCAGTGACCTTCCTGATTCCAGGCAACCAGGTGATATGTGGCTCCTTTGCATAGCTGTTGAACCTATCCCTGAGGTTATCTAGAGACCCGCTGCCCAGCAGGAATCTCGCTTAGGTTTGAGGTATTTAAAGAGGGCTGAAGGGTGCACTTGTGTTTGGAGTTTCCTGACCAGCCAGATATAGCCATGATGTGTCTAGCTGCCATCCCTGTCTTTCTCCTGTCTGGACTGCAGGTGAGATATGGCCCTGTCCTTTCCGTTGAGTTTGCGCTGGACTACGGTTCACATTCTGTAACACTGGCATGCTAGATAAACTCTACCAGACAGGGATAAGTAAAGAATGAACAAATCTATCTCTGCTGCCAGCTTCATCTTATTTACTTGCATGTTTGTTGAAAGTAAGTGTGAAATGACTTCTGGGGAAAATTGGCACCAAGTTGGTTCAGTTCAGTTTACACCCCAGCAGTGCATGTGCAACAACAGATTGTTTGGTCTTTGTAGCTCCACGGTTATGTAATGTATGGTATTTCCTCCACTGAGAGTTGCTGTTGAAATAGTGGGCAGCCCAAGTGCATGGCAGCAATCTTTTTTGTCCAGTTTAATTGCCATTATGTAAAGTCCATTACACACTGCTGTTAAACTGCTCAAAGGTCTCTCATGACGTGATGAATATATAAAATCAGCAGTGGCTGTTGAACTTTGGTACTGGCATAAACATCTTGACTCAAGAGGAAATTTCCATAGGATTTGTAGGCGTATATATGTGCCCTAGACGTCCTTTTGGTCCGTGGTGCATTATTTAGAAGCTGCAGGTATCCATGTGTTGATATTAGAGTCACATGTTCTTCAGTCTGGCGTAAAGTTGTGGTCGGAGAAGCTGCCTCGAATGTTTTTAATGGGTATTGCATTAAAGGTAGACATCCAGAATAGTGCGCCATTTGTTAGTGTTATTTTATTACTTTTGAATTAGAGGGTGAGGTGAGGGCATTGTATTACTACACTCCTAGATGCCACTAAATCCTACACACAGGTCCTTTGCACACTGCTGTACACACACTTACCCTCATGTTGGGGAGATTTTTTTAGGCAGATGTCAGGGTTTCTGCCAAAAACGTTGATAGGCCATGTGTCTTAATACTTAATAATTGAAATGGGTGAGTTCTATAAAAGTTAACTCCCTGTACAGCCACAAACAGGGAAGTTAGCTGTGAAGACAAAAACCGTTCTTTGTACCAGGCTGTAAACATGTTTATTTCCAGTGTAAAGTTGGGCATTTTAATATGGGGCCTTATTGAGATTGACTCACTTCTGGACACTGCCTCAAATGGCCCTTAGAGGACCTGCAGCTTTATGCCACATTCATTTCTCAGCCAAGGAGGTTGCCGCTTGGTTCACACACATTAGCTATATATAACCAGAGTGTTCTAAAGCTGTACTGTTCATTTTGATAAAATGATGACTTTGTTTTGTCGCTGAGGAGAGAATCAGTCTTATAGTAATGACACTGGCTTTGCAGTTTTTTATACCTGGATTTAATCCAAGGTGTGTGAAAAGAGGATTGTTCCTCCAACAAGACATTTGCACCACTTCCTGTTACAGGGTTCAGAGGGCTGACAAGTAATGTACTCTTCTGATATGTGTACATTTGTGCTGGACATTTAGTGGCAGTTTATTATGTACATTAATGATTGAGACGATTTTCATTTACTCAAACGGGGGACAAAGTTTGAAACCTAAACTGATCTGTCTTTGTGTAAAAACATCTATACATTGACTGAACTCATTGAAGAAAAGAGAACGTGTTAAAAGCAACCTTTGGTCGATCAGTTTGTTCACTTTTTTCAACAGTTTGTAGTCTATGAGGTTATTGAGTAAAGCCCTTGTATTCTACTGACAGTCTTGCCCACACCCTGCCCTACATGCAAATCTGCATGGAATGAAACTGTGGCACTTTGAAAGGTCTCATTCATGTCTCACCTGTTTTGAGTTTG